GCCTCACACTCCAGGGACCTGAGTTCAATTCCACCCTTGGGTGACTGTCTGTCTGTGTCAAGTTTGCATCTTCTCCCTGTGTCTCTGTGGGTTTTTGCCGGGTGCTCCTGTTTCCCCCCCCTCAGTCCAAAGATATGTAAGTTAAGTGGACTTAAGATGGTAAATTGCCATAGTGTTCAGGGATGGGTAGGTTAGGTTTCTGCTGAGCGCTTCAGTTTCCTACCACAGTCCATGTACATGTTAGGTGGACTGATTGACCATAGTGTTCTGGGATGCGTAGGTTAGATGTGTTAGCCATGGGAAATGCAGGCTTACAGGGCTAGGGTAGGAGGATGGATCTGTGAGATACTGTTTGGAGGGTCGGTGTGCACTCATTGGGCTGAATGGCCTGTTTCCACACTGTAGGGGTTCTATGGATGTCTGCACATGGCAATCAAATCATATGATCTTTGAGCAGTATTTATTATAAACTCTCCATCCCCTAAAACAGAGATTTCTGTTTGTCCTTAAAGAAGAATGTTTAATATATAACTATCTTATGAAGCCTTGTATTTGAAACGGGAAATACTGATCATAATCTTTGAATCCCCCTTTAATTATAAGGTCATGCCAGAGAATTGGAGAATTATAAAATGTTATGCCCTCCTTCAAAAAACTGGAAGTTACTGTCCAGTCAGTTTTAAGATTAGTTCTAGGACTGTTTTTAGAAATGATAAAGGAATAGAATTAACAGTCACTTGGAAGTAGTAGGTTTATTAAGGGAAAGTAGCACTGATTTGATTAAAAGCAAATCATTTAATTTGATTGTATTTTCTGAGGTACTGAGATGTTGATGGAGTTACCAAAGATGTTTGATAAAGTGTAGTGTAATAGGATTACCACTAAGTTGAAATAAATGGAACAAAAGACAGTGGTGAGATTGGCGCAAAGATTGCTGAATAATATGAAACAAGGAGAAGTGATGACTATTTGATTTTGGACCGGACGAGGGTATACAGTGAAGTAGCTAGAGACTCAAGTCACTATTTTCCTTGATTATGTGTTAATTACTTGCTTCCACAAGTCTACGCTATACACTCAAAATATCTAGATGATATTATGAACCATGAGCAGGATAATGAAAGACTTCAAGAGAACAGACGGTGGTGGAATGCACAGAGTCTTGCCAAGTCATTTTAACTTCAAATGTGCAGTAATACATTGCAATAAGAACAAAAAAATGGAACATTACAAAAGTAGTAGAAACTTAGTTTTTGTTCATAAATTATTGAACTTGACAGACTCCCATTTGAGAGAATGGTTAAAAGTATTTGGGAATTATTTGTTGGTTTTCTAAAAAGGTGGAGCGTAGGAAAGCAGAGGAGTTAATTTCTGCTTCAACTGGAGTATTGCGTCCAACTCTATCGCTTCTTAGTAGGAATGTGGAAGGTTGAGAGGGCTCAAAATGTTTGGGAATACCTCTAGGGATGATAGGCTTAAAATTATTTGGATAGATTAGAGAAACTGGGCAGCAACAAGAAACTTGCAAGGAGATTGCTACAGGTGTTAAAAAATTGAGTCAGATGGGTAGAGGGAAACTGTTCCCATGATGGAAAGCTCAAGAGCCAGAGGGCACTGATGTAATTTGATTGGGAAATAAATCAACTTCAGCATGAGGAATATTTTTTATGTAATGAGATGTTCTGTATGAGTGTGGTAGGAGCCAATTCAGTCCTGGAGTGCAGAAGATACAGGACTAGCTAAGTTCCAAGCATGGACACAGCTGTTGAATGGCCTCTTTCGATGTTGTAACCAAGCTAAAAATTCTTTGAACTAACTCCAGGATTTCATGTAGTGAAGACCTTTGTAACCTGTTATATTTTTTGCTTTGTAGTTAGATCTGAGATATCTTCATTCTGGATGGCCTGCAAGTGAAATTTTTTTTCCCATATGGTTTAAGAATTAAAGTCTGGGAATGGTAAATTTCATGTATGGCCATCCGATAGACACGATTATCACAAATTTGCTGACTCATTTATTTTTGTTCCGCTTTGTGGTATATTGGCTAATAATTCAAATACAGCAATAGAATGATCGAGGCCATTGCTGCTTTGAAAATTTGGAGTAAACTAAACGTGCCTAGGTTTTGGAGCTTCATTGGGTAGATTTGCTATTTCTGCAGTAATTCTAGAGCTTTATGCCAGTGCTATTTGTCCTCACGATTTAATTTGGCTTGTCATCTCTTTTCCTTGTATGTATTGCTTATTATTCTATCCTGTTTTCTACTTGAATCTCAAGTTCTCTTCTAGGTCTGAAGCGTCAGCCATCCTGCTCCTCTGATGCTGCTTGGCCTGCTGTGTTCATCCAGCTCTACACCTTGTTATCTCTCTCCTCTTCCTGGCTGTCAGTCTTGTTCAAGAATTTTAGATTTCTACTTTTTCAAAATCTCTTTTCTGTTAACTTTTAAACCCCATTGCAACGTTATAATAAGTGCCCAGGTAGCTACCAGAAATGAAGAATTTGCACCTAGATCAGTGCACTTTGGGCTTTATTGATGCTAGTCACTCCCTTAAACAACCTGAGCATCTTATTGTGTTCATGGTACACAACAAATCTAATTGCATCAATACAGTATAATAGTGATCATCTTAAGGCAGCTCATCCACTCATTTCAGTGTGCCTGTAATTTTGTGCTTTCCACTTCTGTTGTTTGTAGGACCTCCTATTTTCAATCTATACCATTCTCAGTATGTCCTGTACGTTAAAAACGCAAATCCAATGCGGCTAGTTACCGCCCCCTCCGTCTATTGTCGAACATCAGTAAAGTGATGAAAGGTGTCATCAACAGTGCTATCAAGCAGCATGTGCTCAACAATAACCTGTTCAGTTACACCCAATTTGGCTTCCACCAGGGTCACTCAGCTTTTGTCCTCATTATAGCCTTAGTTCAAACATGGGCAAAAGACCTGAATTCTAGAGTTGTGGTGAGAGTGACAACCCTTGACATCAAGGCTGCATTCAACCAAGTGTGGCATCATGGAGCCCAAGCTAAACTGGAATCAGTGGGTATCGGGGAAATTTCTTCAGTGGTTAGAGTCATACCTGACACATGGGAAGATGGTCGTGGTTGTTGTCAGTCATCTCTGCTCCAGGACATCTCTGCAAGAGTTCCTCAAGGTAGTGTCCTAGGCCCAATCATCTTCAGCTGCTTCGTCAACGATCTGCCCTCCATCATAAGGTCAGAAGTGGGGATGTTTGCTGATGATTGCATAATGCTCAGCGCCATTCGCGACTCCTCAGACACTGAAGCAGTCTGTGTCCAAATGCATCAAAATCTGGACAATATCCAGGCTTGGGCTTACAAGTGGCAAGTAACATTTGTGCCCCACAAATGCCAGGGTATGACCATCATCAACAAGAGACAATCTCACCGCTGCCCCTTGACGTGCAATGGTGTTACCATCATTGAATCCCCCACTATCAACATCCTAGGAGTTATCATTGATCAGAAACTCAACTGGATTCACTAAATAAACACAGTGGCTACAAGAGCAGGTCAGAAGCTAGGAATACTGTGCTGAGTAACTCACTCCTGACTCCCCAAAGCCTGTCCACCATCTACAAGGCACAAGACGGGAGTGTGTTGGAATACTCCCCACTTGCCTGGATGAGTGCAGCCCCAACAACACTCAAGAAGTCTGACACCATCCAGGACAAAGCAGCCTGCTTGATTGGCATCACATCCACAAACGTTTATTCCCTCCATCACCAACGCTCAGTAGCAGCAGTGTGTACTATCTGCAAGATGCACTACAGAAATTCACCAAAGATCCTCAAACAGCACCTTTTCAACCCACTACCGCTTCCATCTAGAAGGACAAGGGCAGCAGATATATGGGAATACAACCACTTTCAAGTTCCCCTCCAAACCACTCACCATCCTGACTTGGAAATGTATCACCGTACCATCACTGTCGCTGAGTCAAACTCTGGGAATTCCCTCCCTAATGGCATTGTGGGTCAACCTACAGCTGGTGGACTGCAGCAGTTCAAGAAGGCAGCTTACTACCACCTTCTCAAGGGCAACTAAGGATGGGCAATAAATGCTGGCCAGCCAGCGACACCCACATCTCACAAAATGAATTAATAATTTAAAAAAGTCACCACCTTAGTCCCCATCACTCCAGCCTTCCTTCAATCATTTCCTTTAACAAGTTTGTATGTCTTAGAGTGTGGCCAGTCCATGCTTGGACCCTGTTCTTGTAATTGCACTGCAAGCCAATTGATACCTGAAACTGAATCAAATTAATTACAAAATCCAGTAGCATCTGAAGTACATGTCCTCTTGTTTTGTAATGCTCCTGTAAAGTACCTTGAGGTGTTTCATTACGTTAAAGACACCATATATAAGCATAATTTGTTCCTGAAAAGTGAATATGCTATAAACAGGCAGGAACCTGCTTAAAACAACTTAGTTCAGCAAGTCCTTATAACCTATGTTTATATGGTTGAGGCTCACTTTCTGTGAACACTATTTGCTTGATTTGCAGTAAGTATCTTTAGTATACTGTTTCCATGCTCTTGAATAAGCGGTAAAACAAAATCTGACAAACATTTTATATGGAGCATATACTGGGCTGACTACTAATCCTCCATACTACTTCAATTTTGAATTATATTCTTATAACATTGTTACTTTTATTTTTGATTTGTGTTTTTTTTTTAGCTCAACACTGACGCTGATTCACCTGTAGCAGAAAGTGATTCTGTGTTATTAGGCCTTGCTTTAGACCTAAAAAATAGTGAGAGTGGGTCTGGCCATTTTCAAAAGAATACTGCATGGAGAACTGTGGAATTTCATTCAATTAATCTGTTCAAAACTAATCTGGATTTATCATTTAATGGCAGTTATAGTTCATGGTTTATATAATGACATTCATTGTCGTTGGAAATAGAAGTTTTGTTAAAACGATTGTTGCCAGAAACATGTATAACACCTATGTTTCTTGCTGTTTTTACAGGAGCGGAATAGAAGCAAATAGTAACTGAAAGGGCATGCTGCACCGTAGTTACAACACTAAAGACACGAACCTTGGAAATTTACTAGTATCTTCCAGGAACTATGGTTATTGGAACTTTACTGCTCAAGGCGACCTCTTTTAAACACTTGAACACAAGATTGGCTTTCCCTGTTGGTTCTCGTTGCTGCATTTGCCCTTATACTGTTGTTTCACAAAACACATTTGAGCTCTATATTTCAAGCACTTTCTGCCTTCCTAAAGCTTTTTATCAATAACTATCTTTCTAAATTCAACCTCTCTGTTGAAATCCAGAAATTGAGTGAATGTGAGAAACCAATTAATTTTTTTTGGATTTGTTTAATACTAACAATTAATGAGTGTAGTTTGGTCAATGATCTGAGATTTCACGATGCTTAGCTCTTCAACATACTTTTTTTTCTGTTGTAAGATTCATTTTTAAATTAATTTTAGCTCTACAGAAACCATTTGGATATCATGTAATTTTTAGTTCAAACTAATAAATCCAGCATATTGCCTATGTGAAAATTATTGTAGTAAATAAAGTGAATAAATGGAATTAATATTTTTTGCCAAATGTGAAACAAAGCAGAAGTTATGCAAGATTCTTCCCCAAATTACTCTTGGTTCTGAAATATAATTTTTAAAAATGTATGTGCAACCAGTTAAATACAATGCTTTCTTTATTGTACTATGTATTACATAGGTTTCAGAAAAGTGCATTTGTCTATGGAGGAGATGCTAGATGTTTGATACAAACATTGATGACACTGTCCTAAGTAAATGTACCTCAGTTTGATTTAACTTTTTAGACTTCTGTAATGTCTTTTAAATACAACTTCCTACCTTTTGAATGTTTGCCTTTCTGGCAGATTACTATCATGGAAGTGGAAAATTTTCTCCTCTTAGGTGATTCACTAGCTTAATAAATCCAATACTTGTTTAGCAAGTGTTATGGTATGAGTTAATTTGCAATGTTTCGCATTTTCATACTACTATACAGAAAATCAACCAACTTAGGAGATACTGAACCCATAGTCTCCTGTTTACGTAAACCACTATATTGACACTCTGACATAATTGCCTTAATTTATAATATGTATGTTCAGTAGGTTTCAATAGCCTAATTAATAGAAAATTGACTTTTTATAAGCACAGAGCTTAAAATCACTGTTTGTATTTTAAAGGCTATTTAAGTTATTTTAGCACACTATTTTTCAATGTATTTAAATTTGGCAGTATCCTAATGTGATCTTGTAGTTGTGTGTTTATAATGTCCAGGATCATTTAAATCTATCACATTAAGATAGCAGTGCATATTTAGAATTTATCAACCCCAAGTAGTTGCATTGTGTACATGTCTAAGTAACAAATGGCTTATTTGCTTTTTAGTCCTGCATATATTGGAATTAAATGAACTAGCATAAAGACAATTGAGTGTAAATTAGCATCGATATGTATAACTTCTATGCATTTATTTTAAGTAGTTCCCTGATTGCAGTCTCATCGATATTTTTTTTCTCTCTCTCAGTTCAACTACCATACAGATATCAATTAGTACTGTACTGGCTAAAATAGTTGCCTTTGGATTGATTTCTTCTTGGTCTTCTGGCAACAAGAGTTTTTTCTAAATTACTATAACTTTCCTCATGTTTTGTAGATCACTTGTCCTAATTGATAGACTGCAAGTGTTTTGGGACAAAGTGTAAATTCCTGAAAGCTTTCATGAGCTTTTCAAAGCTATTTTATTACCTATAAGAATTGCATGCACTTTTGTCTCTCGCTGTGTATGTTGCATGGAGTAATGCATCTTTTCCTGATCTCTCTAAAGTAATTATCCATATAGCTGTCTTTAAATGATTGACAGCAAAAGAATATTCACCTGGGAGCATCAATATTGCAGTTTGTTTCCCTGATTTTAAAACCGTGTACTTTGGTCAGGATAATTTAACTTGAATGTTGATCTACTTCAACCTTATTTTTTAAATTGTGGGTCTGTGAAAGAAAATTGAAGTAGAATGCAGAGTAAGAAGTATATCGTGATTAAATGAAATGAAGGTATTGCATGAATGGGGTAAAAATATTCTTTTGATTTCGAAAACAGTACCATTTTTATCTCTGATTTTATTATATAAGTGTCAAATTTGGAGGCTTTCCCAAACCCTGATGGGACTTATTATGCTAATAAACTGCTGGTATAATTTGATTTGTTCAGTAGAAGTAATTTTGGAACAGATTTACAAAACTGAACTCTTGTTATTAAGGCCATTATCCAGGAAACAGTATTGCAATCATAAATATAAATTGCATAATGTTTAGAAGATCTATTTCTGATATTTCTTGTACAAAACTTGATTAAAAGCTGGTCTCCTATTGTTCTATTTCTAAAAATATGCTGTTTTCCATTTGCATTAATAAGCCATAATTTACTTGTTACTTCATTTACTTTATCTTCTCACTCATCATTGGTCACTTCCCATTTTCTATCTCAAATTTTGAATTGCTGTTTCATGTTTAATTAAAGATCAAAAGATCAAATTGTCTTGCCTCATTAATTTGAGTACTTAATGTTTTCACTTATGTAGGAATATCTTTGTATTGTGCTAATTAGATTGCATGCTTTTTGTCAATGTAATTTATATTTTTGTATGCAATATATCAGTTATACATATGAAAATTTCATCTGAATAGCTTTAACTTTGAGGTAAACATGGGGCAATTCAGAATTACCACAATTCTCTTGAGTTATGGTACATAGTCCATTTTGTTCCTTGCATGAATTAGTGTGTGAAATTCATAAGACAAAACTACAATGACAATATCCAAAGGTGTATGGCAAAGGAAGTAGGCTGAATATACTAGTTCCAAGAAAGAATTTTGACAATTTTTATTTGAAAAGAATGATTGTATTGATCAATGTGTTCATCTCTTCATACCTTCTGCAGTTAACTATTTGTAACTCCTGTGCCTCATCTGAACAACTTGCTCTTCTGTAGCACTTGGAGTATAAAATGTACCAAGCATATAATTGAACAACATTTGATATTTGAAAAGTTGTTAAAGCTGATGAGCAAAAGCTTGGTCAAAGATGTAACTTCTAAAGAGCATTTTGAGAGAGGATAGAGTAAAGGTTCAAAATTCCAGTTCTAAGGGCTTGGACAGCTGAAAGCATAACCATCAATCGTGGATCGAAAGAACAAAAGACTTGCATTGGAAGTATGCAGACTTCTCAAAGGGCTGGTGGAAGCTATAGAGATAGGAAGGAATGTGAGCAGAGATTTGGAAACAAGCAAGAGAAATTTAAAGATGAAGCATTGCTCGTGAAAAGAGTGGTGAAGGATAAATAGGACTTGGTGTGAGTAACTAACAGGGTGCATTGTTTTCAGTGTGAATTATTTATGGAATGTGGAAGATGAGAGCCTGACCTTTATTGGAGTCCATCAGTCTGAATTCAAACTTTGGTCTTTAAAACAAAATGTTGCAATATTGAATTTATTCTGTGAATGCACACAGATTGTCAAATAATTGTTCTAAGTTTGCTGATTTTAATTAAAAAGAAACAAACTTGTTTGTGACATTCATTTTAATATGGCTCTATATTTTGCTGTTCCAGGTAATTCTGCGATTCATCAAACAAATTGGAATTCATGCAAATTGTTTGCAGATACACCAAGAACATGTTTAATTCTTCAGTTGCCTCATGTATATAAAGATTATCTCTAATGAATAGAGAAGAGTTAAATCATACAAAATTGTTCTCCTGTGTTAAACACAGGGGTCCTCTTTGGGGAGCAAAAGGGTCTTTGTCATTCATGCACTTGAGTCAGAAAAGAAATCTACAGTTTATTCAGTTTTCTAAGGCGCAGTGATTTTGTTTTTTTAACATGATCAGGGTTTAGCTGATGAATAGAGATATGGTCTTTATTTACATTGGTTGATAACACTCCGTGTTTTGGTTCACGCATAAAGAATTGTCATTTGCATAAGGTAGCAATGGGTTATTATGCCAACAAAAATATGTCTCAACATCTGACAGGAGAAAAGAACATTCCGCGAACATTGAGTGTTTTGAATTATTTAAATATTATGCATCTTCCTACCCAATAAAGTGGCAGGACAAGTTATTAAAGCATGTGGGAGTCTGGATTTTAGAAAGAGAAGCATGGTGTACACAAAACAATTTACTGTTGAATCTATATCAAACACAAGGACAGCTCCAGTTAGAGTAATACATCCCTATTTCCCCACTTTAGCAAGGTTGTTCATGCCTTTTTACAGGGTGCAGAAGAGATTTGGTAGAATAATTGTATTGCTAAGTAATTAGTTATGTGAAGAGACTGGAGAAACTCATGAAGAATTTGGGTAGGATAAGTTGAGAAAATGTTCAAATGGCTGCAGAGCCAGTAACCAGAGAGCACAGATTTAAGGTGATTGCTGAAAAGAAGAGGTGACCAAAGTATTATTTTGTGCAAGGTGGCTAGGCTTTAGATACAGATTCAATTGTTGTCAAAAGGCAACTGAATAAATACTTCGAGGGCAAAAAAAAAACAGTATATAGAAAAAGGATGACTGGGGAATAGTCTGAATGACTTATTTTAGTGCTACACAGTTCAGGCATTCTGCCTTGTGGCCCAAAAGTAGCAAAACTTCTGGCAAATATGAAATGAAAAGACGAAGTGTTCATTGCTTGTTGGAATGGTGTTAAACTTCATTAACTATCAATATTTTCTTAAATTATAGACTACCATAGGTGATCTTTGTTAGAAGTGGTAAGAATGCAACTTAAAATATACAATCCTTGGCATTGACTTACACGTTTTGCATGATGTTGTAGAGTATGTTTTGCCATGCAAATTGGTCCTTCATGTAACTGAGTGGACCATCGCTTTCAGAACACTTCCTGTGTTCCTACATTAACTTTCAGACCAGTGATCATTCCAGTGCCATTCTGAAATGAAATTCAGCACAGAGTTTCAGTGCAGTCTGCAAGTCAGGAGCTCTACTGTTAACCGTCATGTCATAATTCATTGTTCTTGAATTTGACCCTCAAGCCATGCTTCAGCTACTTCACCATCCTGAACAATTCATTCTCTTGTCTGTATATTATCTACAGCAATCCACTGCTTTCCATTGAACTACTATTTTATCATCTCTGGCCCTTTCTATTTCTTAACCTAGATCACCTTGGGGTGCTTTTTGGTACGTGACGGCAGCTGTGACTAAGCTGCCTTATTCCTCTTCCCTGACCAGTCCTATTGGTAAATTTTCTCAGCCACCACTACATCTGGAGTGTTTTAAATCATGGTGTGCCTACTCTCTGTCTTGCAGCAATCCAGCCCATGATCACTGATTAATACACGCACACATTAGTACATTAATAATGTACTAGGCTTGCTTAAAACCTGATTTTTTTTCAGGTAATGTTTTATATTTTACCAAGTTTCCTGTTCAGGTAGCAGTAATGGTGGAGCTCTCGTTCCAGATGCTACGTGGTCCATTTCTTAATATTTCATTCTTTATTTCAGTTTGATTTTCTATCTTGGAACACCTTGTCCCTGCTATCTCCTCTTAAATTCTTACCACTTAACTCTACTACGAAGACTTTAATCTTGCCTATTTTGGCTACTTGTTTAAAAGGCTTCAATTGTGTTAGCCTGTCATTTCATTGAAACTAGGAGTTCCTCTCAAAGCTTCCTCTGGCATCTCTGTCTTAATTGGTTTAAAATAAGGATGAAAGCTTGTGCTCAAATTCTGGGTGTGGGGAAGTAGTTAATGAGATTGTTCTTAAATCTGTTAATGTTAAACTGCTATTGATTATATTGTGGCAATAGTTACATTTATCCTGTCCTTCTCCTGATAAAAGTCAACAAAGCTACTGTAATTATGGTTGTGGCAGAAGTGCTAGTCATCAGCAATAACTTCCGTGTAATGGTTTATGCATTTTTTTAGTATAGATCGAGTCAACAGTATTGTTCTTTTGTGACTGTTATACTGTATTACATTCAAGGACAAGCAGGTAATGCAACTGGGAGATGACAAGAACTGCAGCTGCTGGGGTCCGAGTCAATACAGTGTAAAGTTGGAGGAATACAGCAACCTGCCGTAGATTGCAGCTGGGCTCATAGACCTGGGATTGATCAGTCTATACACTAAGTTGCCTGAAATGTTTGTGTACTTCCAACTGAGAAAGTAGAAACTCAATATTACTTAGCTCCTTAATAATTCTCATATCCATTATTGCCTTCTCAGTTACTAATTGTCCAGTTGTTCTAGATCTGCTATAATGATCAATGAGATGGTGGAGGCCGAATTCTCTGATCTTGGCTGAGGGGGATAAGTCTACCTCAGTATGTTTAAGATTATGCTGTATCTACAGCTGTCCAAATAACACAAGTGCTAGTAGTTTCCATGATTAGCATATGGGTTTCCTGGCAACCAGTTTTCTTATGTAGATGAGGGTCACTCTAACCTGGGAGTTATAGCTAAAGGACACGTAACCATTATCTGACATCTCCCCTTTGCAAGCATTAAAGAACCAGAGTCAATCCGTTCACCTAACCGCCACGTTGTTCTTTGACTGAAATACTACTTCAATTATGACAGGATATATAATTTGTAACTAATATTACTATAAAAACTGTGATCTGGAGATCCACTCTGTTACAATTTGTGTACATGTTCTCTGTGTAAATTGACTGCTGTGTTTTTTACTTTATACTTCAAAGATGCTTCAAAATTGCTTCGTTTATTGTAAAACACCAACTGGAAAGAAATTCAGGGTGAAAAATGCTCCTGCTATCTTGCTGATTCAGTTAACCTTACCATCATGATGCTAGTCTCTCATGGAGGCAATGTCAATGTTAAGTTTCCTATCAATGATGTTGGTACAGTAATCAGGTCTGTCATTGCTGAGGTTATCCATGGGATATACCCGTTTAGTGTACGGAGAGTAAGTGGGAACATGGCATTGTGAGAGAGCATTATGTTGAATGACAGTGAAGGGTCCACTTCTCCTCGTTTCTACGGGGAGGCTGGCGTTTCACTTTCCAAATATAATTTCGATGAGTGGAAGATGCTTTTTGTTATGCGGATCACTATTATTCACTGACGGACACACGTTCAGAGCAGAGTGAGTTCTTAGCCCTTTGTCCATCTCGGGTGATCGGAGGCCAATCTCTGTGGTGATCTATTAGTGTATTCTGTGTAGTTATACAGAGTACTAACAGTGTCCTCTGGCCAGGAACAGACTGAAGCTGATTAATCATTTGGGCTAAGATCTCGACACAGACTGAGGTGGCTGAAGTCTTTCTATCATTGCAGAGGTGCAACAATGCCAGTAGACTGGCCAGAGACACTTTAAACATTACAGAAGAGTATGTTAGAATTTACATTTTAGTCCGTTCATTCCCGAGCAGAGAATGCGGCCTCAAAATTAAGATGTGTCCGGGGGTATTTAAAACCAATGATGTACTTCTGGGAATAAAAACTAAATGCTGGATAAACTCCAAGTCTGGCAGCATTCGTGGAAAGAAAATGTT